AGTTTCAGCACAAACTGTTCATTTCCACTGTGTCTAAGGATACATATAAGTATGTAGACAATGCTCCCCCTATTATGAAATGGCACAAGGGAGCCACAACAGGCTTTGCATCAGGAAAACATTATTCTTTTCATTTTACTCTGACAAGCAAAATAACTCAAGGGCAGTCATACACATTGTGCACAGTGTGTCTGGTTAGTTGCTTGAGAGATTTCCTTAGAAATACAATGGTAGCTGAGCAATGTGCAGAGTTAGCACTAATGATCTATGCATTGCTAATTTCCCTTCATCCGTGTAGTGAGATTTGAATCCCAGACCTGCTACTTGGCTGAATATTCAGTGCTGAAGAGCTCAAGTGACATTTGCATCCAGCAAGAAAAAGAGATGGTGGTGATTTTGTGTGCACAGGTGGTTAAATCTTCAGAGCAATAAAAAGAAAGTAAAGGGTGTCTGAACCGTTAGCCCAAGTAAAGTCTGAGAGAGCTGCACTGTGGAGAATCACTTCTGTCACAATATATAGATAATGTCTGACTCTTATTTAAAATGAATTGACTGCTGGAGTGCCAGTGCTGGAGACTAATTATCCATGCGGCAGGTACAGCTTGGGCAAGTTTCCTCATATTATCCCATTTATGTGCCTGGACCCTGCCACGGAGAGATCATCTTTCTGTGTGAGAAGGTTGTTCCTTCCTCATGCCCTTTACAGTTACTGACTTTCTGTTGAAGCTGAAATCAAGTGGGGGCAGATGCTGCAGGGGCCTTGGCAGGAGGACATCTGTACACTAAAAATTATCCAAAAGGAGGCTGCCAAATGACAAAAGTTATCTTGGTATAATTTTTCAAAAGCACTTCCATCCTATTTTAAAAACTGACTTAGGCCCGATGTACATGCAGTTTGTACCAGTATAGTTAAGAACATATGAGTAGCTACACTGGGTCAAGACCAAAGGTCCATCTAGCCCAGTATCCTGTCTTCTGACAGTTGCCAGTGCCAGAGGGAATTAACAGAACAGGTCTTCATCAAGTGATCCATTGCGTGTTGCCCATTCCCAGCTTTTGACAGAGGCTAGGGACACCATCCCTACCCATCCTGGCTAATAGTCATTAATGAACCTATCCTCCATGAATTTATGTAGTTTTTTTTTTTAAAACCCCGTTAAAGTCTTGGTCTTCACAACATCTTCTGGCAAGGAGTTCCTCTATCATATTCTCCCCCTCTCCCCCCCGCCTTAGTCATCTCTTTTCCAAGCTGAAAAGTCCCAGTCTTACTAATCTATCCTCATATGGCAGCCATTCCAGACACCTAATCATTTTTGTTGCCCTTTTCTGAACTTTTTCCAATGCCAATATAACTTTTTTGAAACAAGGTGACCACATCTGCACTCAGTGTTCAAGATGTGAGTATACGGTGGAGTTATAGAGGGACAATAAGATATCCTCTGCCTCATTATCTATCCCTTTCTTAATGATTCCCAACATTGTGTCTGCACTTTTTGCTGAAGCACGTTGAGTGGATATATTCAGACAGCTATCCACAATGACTCCAAGATCTCTCTCGAGTAGTAACAGCTAAGTTAGTCCCCATCATTTGTATGTACAGTTGGGATTATGGTTTTCCAATATGCATTACTTTGCATTTATCAACATTGAATTTCCTCTCCCATTTTGTTTCTATTCACCTAGTTTTGAGAGATCCTTTTGAAGCTCTTCACAGTTTCTTTATCCTTCAGTATCTTGAGCAGTTTTGTTTCCACTGCAAATTTTGTCACCTCACTGTTTATTCCTTTCTCCAGATCATTTATGAATATCATGAATGGGAGTAGTCCCAGTACAGACTTTGGAGGATACCATTCCTACCCTTTGTTTCCTATCTTTTAACTAGTTACCAATCCATAAGAAGGATCTTCCCTTTTATCCCATAACAACTTATTTACTTGAGTTTTTGGTAATGGACCCCGTCAATGGCTTTTTGGAAATCTAAGTATGCTATAGCCACTGGAGCCCCTTGTCCACATGTTTGTTGACCCCCCCCCCCCCCTCAAAGAACTCCAGTAGATTAGTCAGACGTGATTTCTCTTTATAAAAAACATGTTGACTCTCTCCCAACAAATTATGTTCAGATACATGTCTGACAATTCTATTAGGGTATGTCTACACTACCCCGCTAGTTCGAACTAGGAGGGTAATGTAGGCATACCGCACTTGCAAATGAAGCCCGGGATTTGAATTTCCCAGGCTTCATTTGCATAAGCGGGGCTCCGCCATTTTTAAAACCCCGTTCGTTCGAACCCTGTGCTGCACGGCTACACGGGGCACGAACTAGGTAGTTCGAACGAGGCTTCCTAGTTTGAACTACCGTTACTCCTCATTCCACAAGGATTTCATGAAAAGTTAATGGGACTCAGGCTCCTAAATCACTCTATACATTTGAGAACGTTACCCTCTGTTACTGATGTAGGCCAAATTAGTACAATATTTGACTGGTGAAATTACAGTTTATATAAGTGATGATAAAAATGTGCTTAAATACATTATATTATATTACAGTATGTGCTACAATAAAATGGTTTAAGAAACTACTGAGAAGCCCTCTAAAAATACTCTAGTTTTTGCTTAACATTAGCACTCAGTCACATCTTTTATCCAGGGCTTTAAAATACTTTTTGTGTGTGCGCTAGTTCAAGACCGATACTTACAAATATTTCCAAGTCCTGACAGAATTTCTCCTGGTCCACATAAGTGTTTCTTGCTTCAGCTGGTCATGATATATAGGCTCTTAAAAATCATATTTTTCTTATGCTCACTCACACACACACTCTCTCTCTCTCTCTCTCTCTCTCTCCAATGCCAACATTATTTTAGCAATCAGGCAGAATTAAGCCCTGCACTACCAAATTTGTAATTAATAACAAAATTAAGTCTAAATGTAGCTTGACTATAACAGGGTTAACACTCAGGAACGATGGTCACTAACCATGTTTCATCCTTCCTGGCAGCCTACGCTCCTCTGTTTACATTCCTCTGTTTGACACACTTCTATTTGCATTTTCAATGGGCACACTTAACCGTGCTTATGTGGAACCATGCCAGTTTGGTAAAACCTTCTTTTCAGCTCTGGGCCTTTTAGGGCACCACATAATGTATTGTCTCATATTGCTTATATCCTCCATTGTGCATGCTGTCAGGGCACCCTTTCCCTGGCTGAAATATTATTCATAGATTCCACAACCAGAAGGGACCAGTGTGATCATATAGTCTGATGTCCTGTATAACACAGACCATAGGACTGCCCAAAAAATAAGAGCAGATCATTTAGAAAAAAACATCCAATTTGATTTAAAATTTGCTAGTGATAGACAATCCATCAAGGCTGGCAAGTTGTTCCAATGGTTAATTATGATGGGATAACATTTTAGACTTTCCTAGAATGTACTGATATGGTTAGTTACCCAGTAGAAAGACAACTGGGATTGATAGAGTTTGGAATTGTGAGAGAGCTTTTTGGTGGATGTAGTTCCAACATGTTTGTTATAATTGAGTCTGAATAGAAGGTCACAAATTGGCTGTGGAAGCCTGGTTTGTACTTGTAGTGTAGACAGGGCTTTAGCAATGAATGTTTGGTATTGTCTGAAAACTAAGATTCCAAACTTAGGTTTATCTGATGTCTAGAGAACAATGTCGGAATTAAAGTGGAGAAAGAAAGAAAGCTAGTATCAGAATGATGTGATTTTTTTTTTTTTTAAAAAGTCTAATAGCTCACAAACTGCTTGTGATAACTGTCATGCTATTGAAAAGTGGGATTTCAGAAGATAGGTTTAAAAATCAGTATCAATTCAGGCCCTTTAATCCAGCAGTATCCTTAAGTTCTGGTCCAGGGCTGAACAGAAAAATTCCAGGACTTTGGACCAGCATAATTTTTCATCTCTGATTGAAAATATCTAAAATATAAGCCTGCTTTGCATTCCTACAATGCCCAGTGTGAGTGAGTGGGTGATTTATGATCCCCTCTAGCTAGGGGTGTAAATATCAATCAAACTAGCTAAGTGGTTAAACAATTAAAATTATATTGTTTAGCCAGTTAACTGTTGGTGGGCACATGGCAGCGAGAGGGGGGAAGTCTTACTGGGTATGGTAGGGCCATGTCCATAGCTGGGGTGCTTACTGGATAGCTGGTTAACCTTTTACATCCTTACCTCTAGTACGTGGCCACAGAGAGCTTAACTGACTTGCTGACTAATCCCAGGAAGGGAAGTTTGCCTTTAGCTCAGGCAATGCTGTTGCTAGAGGCATGCCGGGCCTGGGACAACTGCCCTCTCCATCCCAGGCCCTGCCTCTTCCTGCCCCTGCGCCACTCCTGCCCCACCCCTACTCCACTGCCTCTTCCTTCTGAGTGACATGGCCCAGGAGATTAGTGGGGGGGGCCTGGCGCTGACAGCAGGGGTTACACTCACCAGTGATGGTGAGAAGCAGAGTTACCCAGCCCCAGCTCTCTCCACTCTACGGACTCCCAGCTGTGTCGCTCCACTTCCCCCCCCTGTGGGTGAGTATGGGGTGGTTCCACCCTTTCCCCCAAGTGACATAGCTGAGAGCCAGACAGATCATTCAGCTTCCCACCACTGCTGGGAAGTGCAGGAGCGAGCCCATCCCCTGCTGCTGGCACCAGCCCCCCCTCCCATTAATCCTCTGAGCTGCCCTGGATCATGCAGGACCCTCCAAAGCCCAGAGCCTGGGGCAGTTGCCGCGAACTGTCCAGTGGATGGGACAGCTTTAAGCTCAAGTGCTGAGCTTGTAGGTTGGAGGTGAGAGTCCAGTGTTCTAGTCTTGGTTACTTGTATCTCAGAATGTGAAAATTATCTAAAAATTATTTGCTGTCTACCTTTATATGAATGTGTTATACTGTTCTGCAAATGCTAAGCTCCCCAGCCAGTACTTGCACTACAGGGCTTGCACACACCTTGTATCTCAAGAAAGAAAGAAAAGAAGAAAAGCAATTAACTCACAACATGAAGATATAGGTACACTGATAGCCAGAATGATCCAGGCAATGTCCACCTTGGTGAGACAAATAGTTGCTCTGTGCTGGGGCTTATCCCCCTCAGTGACATGGGAAATATTCCCTGGCATGCCCGGCTTCCAGGTTCCAGCAGGCACCAGTCTGTTCAGGAAGTTTCCTGTTGCTGTGGAACCAGCTGTTGAAATGGAGCTGGCCAGCCTAGTGGTGGGTGCTGTGGAGAGAGCACTGTTGGATAAAGTAGCATTATTCACCGTGGTATGCTGGGTCAGGGATGTTCTTTTCGCCTTTCCCATTGTAGGTGACGAAATGTTGACCTCAAAGCTGGTCTGCACTGAATGGCCTGCTATCGTTGCAGTTCCAGGGCTGGCAAACAAAGGTACATTTGTACCTGGACTCAAGGTTACCCACGAGTTATTTTTGCTCAGGATATCCCCTATATAAAAATGTGTGGGTTTAAAAGGCACGGACACGGGTTTGGGATCAGTTGATGGGCCAGCTGTTGGGGTGGTAAGATCTGCTTGCTGCATAACTAGCCATGTTCCGTTTACCTGCTCTGCTTTTTTAAGGCCTTCTGAGGTGTTGCTGTGGAGTGAAGAGCTTGAGTCTGTAGTAGTTGCTGGCCCAGTACTATTGGGATCATTGGAGGCTGTACTCTCGGGGGGCTGAAATGGGTGGTTAGTGAATGGGCGCCTCAGATTAGGAAAAGGAGAATGCAGTGCTGTCTTTAGGTAAGGCTCTGTAGATTCTGTGAAGTTGCCTTTGAAAATCTGAAATATTTTCCCCTTGGGGCGAGTCTGTCCTGAATACAAAGCACTCTGGTTGTATAAATGATATGTTTCCTTTTGGCCACCGTGATGGGTGCTGGTTGCTTGCTTCTGGTCAATGGAAGGGGCAGACGTCTGCGTTGGGTGAGTTGAACGAAGAGTTGAATGAGTAGTTGTGGGAACGGGTCCTATGATATGATTGCCTTTGTGTCGAGGTGTTGTCCCCATGGCTGTGATAGTGGTAGTGTCTGGCAGGAGGCCCTGAGATGACGATACACCGGGAGACAGTATCTGAACAGCAAACACCAGCTCTTCTGTCAGTGCCAAGATCAGTAGAACACCTTGAGGAAAGGACAGAGAAAGGTACTGAAATGAAAATCACAGAGACAGACAGACTGAAATCCGTACGACTGTGTAGTCATGCTTTCCTTACTCAAGCTGTTATGGTATTTTACAAGCTAGTTCACTATAATTTGTCTGGATGGCATACACTGTGTAAAAAGATTGCAATGAGACCCTCAGGAAGATAGCACAGCATAATAAAGTTACAGTGCAGCAGAAAAGTTCATAACTAGCTTTCATCTTCATCTCCTCCATTAAGCAATCAATAAGGGGTGAGTGTCAACAGGCTCTAAAAGCCCTAGTTCTGACTGAGGGAGGATTCTCCAGTGCAGGAACTCAAGAAGGCAGCTGTAAGGTTGACTTCTGAAGAACTTCTCACAAGCCCTATCACAGAGGCAAAGTGCAGGGCCGGGTATAGGAGAGATGTGTATTGGACAGGGTGGAGCATGTAGATTCCAGGGCATGCTGCCACCCATAGAGTCGCCTGTGGAGGGTGCTATAAATGAGCTACTCTAATTCCTGGTGCAGCCCAGAGTCTGGAGGTGCAAAGGTAGTTTAAAGCCCCATTAATCTGCCTCCTCGTAGGCTGCAAGATCTGTGGTAGACATGTGGTAGAAGGGAGAACAGGCATTCCTCAAAACTCCTAACATATACATATGGTTGAGGCGATGGGAAGAGTTCTTCAAAAAGATGAAAATGAGAAGGTGCACAGAGGGAGCTGGTGGGGCGGGATCCCTCCCCTGCCCCCACGTGTCCAGTGTGCTTGGCAAATAGAAGTTTTAGAGTGTATCACTATAAGGTTGCAATTAAAACAACATTTTCAGTTTCTTTTTGCTCACAAGCCCCCTCCCAACAGCTGTACCCCATTGTTGTGAGTCTTCTGGGGTTGATTGCTAAACATCAGTAGTGATTTAGGGTGTGTTTGCTTTTAGGTGCCCAGCTGGAGATACCTTAAAGAGTTCTGAGTTTTGAGTGGTTCGATTTTCTGCACTCTCTCACAATCTGCTCTCTTCAAGGTCTCAAAAGTTGGGCACAGGAAAATTGGGGCTCCCAAATCACTGGTCATGTTTGAAAATCTTGCCTTTTATCTACCATGTCAGAAGTGCAAAACACTCAAATGCTGTCACCTGGGCAAATTCAGAAGCTACCATTGTCAGGCTTTCAGTTTGGACCCAGTACAATCAAACCTGTTTTAACATTTATATGGCTGTTAGAATTTTCATTTCCTCTGCTTTTCATGTGGAATTTGGGGGAAGGGAGTGTTGGCTTACACCCTTCCTCTTCCTACTCCCCCATAAATGACTGTTAGCTTGTGAAGAGTGCCAGATTCACAACACTGGCATGGTGAATTCTTCTGTTTATCTCTAATCCAGATAACAGTAACAGTACAAGCATCTACCCAGTTCTGCTGATGTACCTTTACATCACTACAGGTTGCAGAACCACACTCATGCCGTGTCATTTGCATTGTGGATATCTGCCTACTAGACATGCGCTGAAAAACCAATTCATTTTAAAGAGGCCATTGGCCACCAGTAGATGGCAGTACTAAACTGGTCTGCATTAGAACCAGTGATTTTTTTTTTTTTTTTTTTTTTGGAGGGGAAAGTCTCCATAGTCTAACCAACCTACTGAGCTAAGTATTTTCTACTTAATACTAAGTTAAACAGAAAATAATACGTTAAACAGAACCTCCACCCCAAACAACCATCAAAGGAATGGCACTTCTTCTCCTATCCTACCACACAAGTTGATCATAAGTCATATAGTTTAGAACTGCCTCATTGCAGTTTCTCACCCTAATCTGCTTTAGCCCCTACTCATGCACTTTCAGATATGCATGGCTGTGTATCCAGGAGATCAACAAATTGACTTGATAATACAATGTATTGTATTAGACCAATGCATTTGATGAAGTGTTTGTTACTCACGAAAACTTATGCCTAAATAAATCTGTATGTCTTCAAGGTGCCACAGGGCTCCTTGGTTTTGCAGATACGGACTAACCTGGCTACCCCTTTGAGACAATGCATAAGGCTGTAATACAAATCACTCAGGAGGTTTTAGTGACTGACAGCGAGATTAGTGAATGCTTTTCACTTCTGAAATAAAGTAAATAAATAAACTTCACAGATAAGCCACAAACTGCCATCTTGCTCTTTTCCACAAATCAGAAAGAATGTGCTCTAGCAAGACATTTGGTCAAAGTGAAAATAAACTACTGTAGATCAATGAGATGCTTCCAACAGAGAGGAATACCCATGGAGCACAATTCAATGAAATGCAGAGAAATTTTTCTGACAGCACATGTTCTGAGGTCAAGGCAGTCCAGTGATTGTATGTCTAAAACTTCATGCCAAGACAAGTAGCTACAGGATAACAATTTAAAAGAGGGAAGAATAAAGATTTGTTTTGGATGCTGGAGATATTTCATAAAAATGAAGAGTCAATGCTCTGAATACATAAGGTGAAGTGTATTATGACAATCTGAGGAGTTATATAACTCTTGGTGACAACTTTCTGCCGCACCCTCGCCTGTACAGAAATCATCCTCCATGGATTGTTTTTCAGGATTTTCTTTAGTTTGTAACAAAGGACACAGTTGCCAGTTATGCTGTATACAATGGCCTTCTTCTCCAAAAACATACACCCCTGTCTATTAAGCTAATTATGAATCAATGTTGCCTGACATTAGGATTTATAACCTTTGTAGCCAAGTCAGTGGCTGTGACAGAACTGATACTTGGTGTCTGTACCCATTGACTTCCTAAAATGGGATTCAGACAATATGATGCATCGCAATGATCAGCCCCCCCCACTCATGGGAATCCATACACTAAAATGTTCATTAAAACTACAGGTAGGGCTACACGGCAGTTTGAAGTGTGCCTCCCAGCCCAGGTAGATGAAAACACATGCACACACGTTATACTCTGGCTAGTGCACTAAAAACAGCAGTGTGGCTGGTGCGGCAAGGAGATGACTTGGGCTGGCCAACTAAGTATAAGCTTGTCTTACTCCCTGGGTCTGTACTTGGCCCATGTCGCAAGAGTCACATTCAGGATGGGTGAAAGACTTCACTGGGCCCTGGGCAAGAGGTGAGGGATTTGGCTCTGGGCCCCACTGGAAGGGACAGAGTCTCAGGCAGAAGGGGTGGAGGTGGGTGGCAAGGCCTCCCCAATCCAACCCTCAGCACCACCCAGACTGTGTTGTTCTGGGCTCCGGTGGCCATTTAAAGTGCACAGGGCTCTAGCTGCTGCTGTTACAGTGGTGGTGACCTGGAGCCCCAGGCACTTTTAAATTGCTAGCGCCCAAGGCACCTGCCCTGTCGGCAGCCCTGTTCAGACTGCTAACCTGAGTCATGTCTATCTGCCTCAGAGGGAGGGTATGTTTCCAGCTGCAATGTAGACATATCCTAAATGTCCCCTCCTATTTGCCATACCACAGACCTGAATGCCATGGACTTTGTCACTGTGGACACGAACCATTATTTTATCAAGGTCAGATGCATGGTACGTACAATTGCATCTACACACACTGCTAAAATATTGAAGACTGCTTTGAGTATGAACATACGACACCAAAACTAGACGGTAGTGTCCCTGTGCAGAAATGAAAGCTACTATTTATGAGCTGTGACAAAAGAAAGCAGTCAACAAAACTAGAGCATGAAAGTGAGGTTATATTTTTGAGGGGAGGATATGTTTGAAAGCACAAAATGCAGTCATACACTGAACTCCCATTGACTTTCACAAGGTGTAAATCGGGATAGATTTTGTCCCTATAATTTTCAGATGCTCAGACAGAAAGTTATCAAACCATAGCTTAATGAGGACTCACTCTGGATTTTAGCAGCTATTCATGATTAAGTGGGAAAAATAGGTCATCTTTACTGATAGTCCATCTCTTCTATGTAAGACACTTAAAAAAAACATTGAGGCAACTTACACAAGGCCTCCAGTATTTTTAGATGTGAGGTTATGCATAATATAATTTTAATGTAAGGAAAGATCAGTTGGAAGAATGTGATGTTACCCTAACATGACAACTGAGGAGAGTCCTGACAAATCTGAAAAATAATTACTTGAAGGCACAAAATTTGTTTAAATATACATTTTGAATATGCTATTATCTTGAAAGGTGCTGGAGCATTTAGGTCCTGGTCCTATAAAGATTTAAGCACATGTATTTCTATGCACATGATAAGGCTCATTTGACTGCTCACATATGTAAAAAAGTAAGCAGGTGCATACAGGTATCTTGCATATGAAGCAGCCTGAGGAAACCAGGGACTGGAAATCCACATAACCAATTCCTGTTTTCTTTTTGCACTCTTCATGCTCAGAAATGGCCAGATGTAAGTTTCATATATAAAACTTCAGCTCTGGAGCATAATTTGATGGTTCTGTTAAAACCCCCTGAAGCCTAACAATGTTGATGGATCTCGTCTCTTGGCAGTATGAACAGCATCACTGTGTTCTTTGCACAACACTCTTTGTAACACATTGCTCTAACTAGTTGAGTGACACAATTAAGTCACTCAACTATGAAAAATAGTGGAGTAAAAGTATATGTAGATGAAACCAATGTGCATTTAAGAGTCTTTACCAAGATTCAGTGCATTCAGTGGACCAAATATTGATAAATCCTCAATGCAGAAGGCCAAATTTACACTTACTCAAGCTCAGCCTGCTTCCTCCCATGGAAAAACTCACAGGAAGAGATAAAGGAGCATGTTTACTTTATATTTGTGTGGAAGAATGGCATTCCTCTAGAGCAGAGGTCTGTGCCTGGGGCTCATGATGCCAACTGCTGTCAAGGGGTTGTGATCACCCTGTTTTTTCCCCATTACTAGGTGAGGGAGGCCCAGACTAAATTCTAGGAAGTAAGATGGGGATCCTGGAGAGCCACTGTTCTGGAGCGTCTTCTGAATACTTTCATAGAGGGGAAGTAATACCCTGCCTTCTCCCCGTCAGAAGAAGCTGGGGGTTCAGTCCCT